CTAATTTATCTTGGCACTATCCTATCTAACACTCTTCTAACCTGATAGTAACAACATTCTCTAAAAATTTCACTAGCTATATATAACATTGCTGCTTTAGCAATTTCAGTGTTATTAATTATTAATTTATACTAGTGTTACTCTTGATGATTCAACCCTGGTTTAATTATTAAATCATAAGGTTATGATCATGGAGTTACCGTAATTTGCAGCAAATAGTACCCCCTTGTTAAAGTACCTGCCCACCATTAATTGTGCGTCAATTTAGTCAAATTATATAGTCAATTGATAGTCCCAGGGAGGGTACTAATCGATTTTTAAGGCTTAGGAATGTAAGAGACCCAGGGTACTATTTGCCGCAAGTTACGGTACTGTGCTGGATGTGCTAAATGTACCAAATGTGCCAAATGTGCTACATGTGCTTATTGTACCAAATGTTCTAGTTATAGTATAAGAGAAATAAGTAGATAAAAAGATATATAAGATATTAATAGTATAAGAGCTATTAGGGACATTTGTAGCAAATAGAATATTTATAGCTCAAGGACCATATGTTTTTATTAGTAAATAATTTATTATATATATAGATGAGTCTTGTTTTACTTTGTAGATATGCTTGTTATAGTATTTTTTAATATATATATACTTAATAAAAAGAATACTCTTTATTTGATTTTACAAAACATACATTATACACTTTTAAAGTTGCTAAATCACTAACACAATTATAAACTTTTTTATTTGTTTACATACTTACAACCAGAGTTGGCACATTTGTCTATTGGTACTAATAGACCCAGATCTATTGACCAGATCTATTGGTTCTATTAGCTAATCTCTAAACCCAATAGACAAGTATATTAAATAACTATATAATATAAATTAATATATATATGAGGTGCTAGTAGAAACTAAGCAAATTGTTTCCAAGTAAAATTTTTTCTAAAAGTTTGAAATAAAATATCTCAACATCTATAAAACCAAATTTAATAAAAATTTTTTTATTTTAATTCTATATAGTTATAGAATTAAAATAAAAAAAAATTTATCAAGTTTGGTTTAATATTTGCTAAAATATCTTGATTTAAAATTTTAAAAAAACAATTTGCTAGGTTTTACTAACACCTCTATAATTACTTATTACTTCTTATTTGGATAATCTATATATACTATATAGCACTAATATTTGCTGTTTTTTGTGAAATATAGTTAAAGAATAACACAAATAAAATTTAAACTTGCACTTTGTTAAATAGCATGATTTGAATATTATTTAAAAATTTTTTTTTTTTTTTTTGGTATTAAAAGATAAGGCTCTGCTCAATTATTTAAAAATTTTAATTTACTAGTGTAAATAAATAATATATAAAAAAAATGTATTATAGTTTATATTTTCTATTATATTTGTTTAGAGATTAATTTTTGCTAGATGTTTAAAAGATTTACAGAATAAAAATAAAATTAATAGTTTAATTATAATTAATTTTATAAAGTGATATTTTTGATAAAACTAGTATAAATCAATAGACCAATAGATTATGGTATTGGTCTATTATGATCTATTGACAACTTCATTTTTAATGAATATAGTTCATTGCCAACTTTACTTACAACTATAATAAACCACTACACAGTTTTTGGGTTTTTATACTCGTGTAACTCCTAGTAAATACTAGGGTATTTTATATCAGCTTAATTACAAACATAGTGCAGATGCTATAGTAATTATCACTAATTAATAGTAAAAGTTTGCAAATCCACATGCTATATTAAATAATTATAAAAAAAAATAGAATTTACTATACTTTTAATTCTCCTGCAATATTTAATATTTTTTAATTCTATAAAAGCAAGATGTTTAATAAAAGACTCTTTTATATTATAACAAGATTGAATTTTTATTTTGCTAATTAAAATATATCTTAGCTTGTTAGAATATCTACTATCATATAATTTACAAATATAATGTAGACCACATAGTAAATTATTGACCAGGCTTTTTTAAAAAAATTTAAATTCTATAGCTTTCAAAAAAATAAATATGTAACAATAAATTTATACTTGCTAAAGCCTTTTTATCATACTCTTTAAATGAATAGTGCTTTTTTTAATTTTGTTTAAATGTTACTAGATTTAATAATTAATTTTTACTTTATTTAAAATAAAAAAACTAGCCAATAATTTACTATGTGGCTTGCATTATGTTTGTAAATCGTATAATAGTAGATATCCTGACAAGCCATGATATAGTATATTTTAATTAGTAAAATAAAAACCTGATATTGTTACAATATAAAGGTACCTTTTATTAAGCACCTTGCTTTTATAAAATTAAAAATGCTAAATATTATGAAAGAAATTAAAAACGTAGTAAATTCTATTTTTTATAAACATTTAATATGGAATGCAGATATGCAAAATTTTGCTATAAAAATTTTTAATTAGTGATCGTATCTGCACTATGTTTATAATTAGACTGATATGAAATATTCTAAATAATTATAGTATTGCTAGTTTTGTCAGTGTTGCTATTGTTGATGATTCTAAAAAAGTTAGTGTATAGTATATACAAAACGTATAGTTCTTTTCTGACATCTGATTGGCTAGAACAAAGTGATTATTAAAAATTTTAGTGTGCAGTTTGTACGTATATACATACAGTAGTTACCAAAAGTAATGCCCAATTTATTAGATAAAAATTAAATTTTTATTTATTTTATTTTTGCATTACAATACATTAAATTTTTTTTTTTATATTTAATATCTACATGCATGGCCCTCTACATCTCAATTCTTTATGGCACTAAGTCCACAACCACTCGAAACACCAACTTATTCACTCTTGCCTACTCCTTCTTCAAAGCTATTTTAAGCTAGTCTGCATCTCTTGGAAAGTCTTTGCAACTCTAAATATTGTCTTTTACAATTTTTTAGATATTTTCTATCTGATTTATCTAGGGATCAGAATAGCCACTTCATATATTTAATTTTTTTTTTATCAAGCCAATTTGTCACCTTATAAATAGAGGCATTATTATACTAAAAAATTGAATTCGATCTAGTTAACAAGTGTATAGCCGCAACAAATGGTACAAGGTGGTTATCTAGAATCTTGTGTAAATTTTTTTGATAATTTTTTTACTTGAAACCTTTGTATTCATCAAAAAAAAACCATGGAACCTTTGATATCATCAGCAAAGCATAACCACACCATCACTAAAACCCTTTTACTTTTGAAACTCAGCACCAAATACTTGTATTTATACTTTTTATCTGCATAGTGCCATACTCGAACTTGGTATGATTGTTTGCCCACTTCCATACTCATTTCATCAGAAAAAATGATATTTCGCCACTTATAAATGTCTCAGTTTCTATTTTTTCACACTAGTCTATATGTCTAACTTATATTGTCTTCTGTTAAAAAAGGTTTTATAGCAGCAATACAAGAATGAACTCAGAAGTCATAGTGGGCCCTGGCTGCTATTGACATATCGCATTGAAGGTTTAAATCCTTTACAATTCTGTACAATGGCTTGTGTCTTTCTTTCAAGGTCTTTTTTAATATAGCTGTCTTTTTTTGCTTCTTTAGGGTGGAGAATATCCAGATCTAGATAAATTTTTGGTTTTTTTTGGTCCTTTTGTACTTATTCAAGAACCTCCTAACTGTTGTAGGGTTATAACCAATTCATTTGACAACCTTCTTAGTACTCATCAAACTAATAAGAGCAAGAATCATTTTTTTTTTTTTTTTTCATTTGGGTTCATAGTATTATTAAAAGAATGTTGGTTTTTTTTTTAGCTAGATATTTAGACATCAAAAGAAGCAAAAAAAAATATATTTGCCCAAAATAACATAAGTATGGTGTAAACAAAGCCACTTTATTTGCTTACGTGAGATAATCTACAAATTGGACATTACTTTTGGTGACTACTATATGTATATATATATGCAGTTCATCACTATGAATACTTATGAAATAACAATAATTTTAGTAGAATAAAGGATTTTATTAATAATAATGGAAGGGACATTAAAGATATTATTGGAAGTATTAGCAATATTGTTATTTCTAAAACATGTATTATTTTATTATAAATAAAGGGCAAATTTGCTCCTTTGAGTATTATCATTAATCGATATAAATTATTGTTTCCTATAACAAAACAAGCATCCTCTGGCTTGTCTATTATCTCTTTCAGTAAACTTTATTATATATTTAAATTGTGACCCTTAATTAATTAAATCTTTGTTAGATGTTTAAACTTTATTAAAAATATAACTATTACTCTGCTCAAAAGTTTATCTCTTTTTGCTCAAATAACCTATTTGGATTAAAGTATTTATTATTGTTATCAAATTGGTTATTGTATTGTTGTCTTGTCTTGAAGTTATAACTTGACATATTGTGGATATCTATTTTCTTTGCATGTTGGTTTTAGTGTTTGAATATTGTTGTATCAGTCATTTTTATATGATCTATATAGTCTAAGGATTACTAAAGCCTTAGAACTATTCTGCAACCACAACATATCATTTAAATAGAAAATTAACATTAGCATAAACACCCTAATTTACCTTATAAGCATATACATAACAATGGTAGTTGTATCAGCTATCATTGCACAATATCTTAATACTATTTTTTTAACCCTTCCTACACTAACCTCAATTGTATACCTAACAGGAAGAGAAATAAATTATGTCTATTGTGTATCTTTTAATAAATCTGTTGTGGAATTTGCAAGTATACACTTGGTAGTAGTCAAAATATCATTAGAGAAATTAGCTTCCATCCCTGAAGTAAAATTTGGACTTGAATGACAGATGCTTTATACCTTTCTATTTTTCTTTTATTTTTTCAATATATATGCTGAGATATTTAATCTATTTTAACATTTTATATTAGATGATTGAAGTATGTGTCATGATCCTTTTTATATCTATCTCTATATGACTTTTCTTGTCTTTGAGCTTTTCAAACTCATATCCATATGTAATGACACCTACACTTTATCATTCTTCTCTTCAAAACAACATTATCATTATGCAAGATATGGGTCTGCATTCTGACCTCCAGAAGGTTTTTCTAAACCATATGACAACTAGTTATAATACATGTGTTCTCAGTAAACTTCTAGACAGTTATTTAGATTACTTTTACACTTTTACAAAAAAAATATATCTAAGTTGAGACCATATTTCACAAACAATACTGCTTAAACTCTCCTACAAGATATTGTTTACTCTGCTATCACACCTGTTATCTTTCTCTTAACTCTTCCTACTTTCTAAATAACCTAATTAGCTAAAAAAGTACAGTTTTTTGAGATTCAAGGCACACTCAATCAATCAAGTTTATAAAGGTAATCAAATAGATGATCTTTGGCTCAATGTGATTCTGATCTCAAAGAGCCAGCAAAAACTGATAATTTTAGACTAGAAGTTTTGTAATATTGGTAATTTTGCTATTGAAGTAGGCTATTTTATTACTTTTCTTTATTTGCTTGCAAATTTTTTACTAACTAAAAAGGGTACTATTGAAGGAATAAATAATGCTAACATTTTTATGAAAAAATTCTTGTAAACATATACTGAAAATTTTGTACCAAAAAATGCAAAAGTATTTTGGAAAGACAAGCAAGTCATGATTAGTATTGACATTTTGAATGAAGCAGGAAAGAGAAGATGGAGTTCAATTGAATCATGTACATATAAAGAAGAGTGTTTACTTGTTGAAAAAGAAGATGCCAAAAAAAGGAAAATTTGTGTAAAAAAGATTGTGAAGATTGGAATTGAATTATTGGAGGGTAAAGAAGGAGTCTTAGAAAGAGTTCTATGCATGGACATCAATATAATGAATTAAACATCATTTTTTATACCTAAATTAAAAGCTTTTGCACAGTATCTATACTAGAATATGGCTTAATTTTTATTATCAGTAATGGAAAACCTGTAAATACATATTTAAATTTTACTCACTGAACTTAAACTCTCAATTTTCAGAAGTCTAGTACTTTGTGTTAAAAAAGAGACAAAATTAACAAAAAAAAATACTCTTCATAAAAAATCAATTATTTCATGAAGTACCGATTAAATTGCATGATTTGATACTATAAATAGTACCAAGTTATGCAATTCTGATTGATAGTTCGTGAAATAATTGATTTTTTGTGAAATTTTGGTTCTTTTTCAACATCAAGCTTATATATACAGTATATAATAATGAATCATTAGGAACCAAATTTTTAAGTAAATGAGGTTTGAGTTAGAAACAAAGCAAATATGTTTTAATAACTTTTAAACAAGAATAGTTTAATAATAACTTAACCAATATTTAGTAAAAAATGTTTAAAATTAATTTTGTAAGTTTTTTTTTAAATTACTATTGTTTAAAGTCTTAAAAAAATTTTATTGTAAAAAATTTGCTTGATTTCTATTGACACAACCTAAATTTTTTTTTTTAAATAATAATAAAGGCTAAATTTATCATAAAAAAATTTTCTTAAAAGTTGGTTAAATAAATATTTTTTATACTCACAAAGCTTCAGTATATAAATGAAGTTATATGATGAACTTTAATAATAATTTATTTTATTAATAAATTTTTTATACTTGCAATTTGAAAAAAGTCATAGTAAATGAACATGAATATATTAGTTTAAATACTTGGATTAATAATATTCCTCATTCTCACAAACTAAATTAACAGAGTATGTGAAATTTTGGGAAAATGAAAACGTCAGAAATGAGAATGTCGGAGAAACAAAAGCGCCGGAAAAGAAATGAAAGTCGGAGAAATGATTGGGATTCAAAAGTCATGTTAAATATATATATGCGTATATATTATTAAATCGTTCTATTAGAATTTCTTACTAAACTATTAGAGTACCGTAAACTGCTGACTCGAGTACCCTATGATTTATACCCGGTGAGATTTAGTGGCTTAATTTTAATTTATACCCGGGTACTATACATTGTATACTTCAATGAGAAGTACCCGCGGATATCTATATACGCACATATAAATGTATATAAAGTCCAAACAATGTACCCCCCTGCTTCGGTACCCCGGGTACAACACTAGCAATGGATACAAGAGTCAGCAGTTTACGGTACCTGTATTGATTCAAGACTTCAATTTTATAAGCAATAAGATTAATAATAATTAATCACTAGTTGGAAACTTAATACTTTTACTAAAGATAAAAGATATACTGTATATGGGGGAGTTAGCAGAAATGCATAAAATCTTTTTTTTTTTAATAAAATTTTTTAAAACTTTAATTTCATGAACATTTACTATTCGCATTTAATCTAGTGAGCATAAAGAACATTAATTTGTCTATAATAAGCTATATATTCATGAATACTTATTGATTTTATTTGGGAGGTAAGCAAATTCTTATTATAAAAATATGCATATTGTACCGAAGATACGTAGCACGAATAAAGCATGGTGGAGAAATGATTATTTGTGTGAATATCAAGGAAATTATTATTGGGGAACTAGTGATGTAGTTGTTGGGAAAATAAAAATCAGGGAAGCGATTGAAAATCCTAAGACATTTATCACCGGAAATTACTAGAACACCTTTACTGAAAAAAATCCTCGCTAGAAACTTCCAGTGACTGTCACTAGGTTCCAATCAAGTTCAGTAATCTTCTAGTTCCAGTAATTCCCACTGAGAACGTTCCATGAAACAGGTTTTTCAAATATAAATTTGCCAGTATTATGAATAATTTTGAAAAATAAAAAATTTTAAAAGGTAAAAAGAAAATAGTAAAAAAAAAAAATTTATTGTCTTGTGGCGGATTCGAACCGCCGACCGTCTGTGTGTTAGACAGACGTGATAACCAGCTACACCAACAAGACTCATTTATAAGGGAACAATTTCTTTATATATTCTTTTCCTAATTTAATTTCTATTTATGGAATTATCCAATTACAAAATCAAAATAAGGAATAAAAACGTATGCACGACCGTATTTAGTTCTGCTCTGAAAGCTTAGATTATAAATGATTTAATTTGAAATAAAATATATCACTTTTTTTTGCAAATTCTTTAAATGCAAATAGTAGTTAATGCTTTTAAAGGGACATAACTGTTGGATTTATTGTAAAACAACATATAGTGCATATCTAAAAAATGATTCTTTTTATTATTTTTTTTTTCTTATGATTTTTAAAACATATAAGTGAGACACCACACACAAGAAACTCAGGTATTAGTATATAGGTTAAAACATATATTTTCCTAGATAGTATTGGGATTAACAATACCTTTTCTCGCAAAAAAGTTATCTAATATTGGAATTAATTGCTGTGCCACTGTAAATGAAAATACTAATTTGGGCCCAACAACCACTAATTTTGGAGTAATTCCTTTGAAAAAGGAATTAAAACCTATAAATTATAAGAATCATTAATATTAATACAACCGTTATTAAGTTTAAAGTCAATATAATATTCAAAAACGTACCTTCTTGTCTAATCATACTACGAATTATTTGAACACCACTTTCAGGTGATTCAAATGGTCTATTTTGAATACGGGTTTTGACAACGTCAAGCGGTTGAGCTACAGAGATCGAAGCCACAGCACCACCTATTGAAGCACAAAAGTTTTGGAAAAATGTGGCTTTGGAAAAATCCTTAAGACCGAATATATATTCTTTGACAAAAGCCGAACCACCAAACTATAAAAAATTATTTTCATAAGAATTAAAAATCATTAAACAAATTAAATAAGAAATATATCACTAATTACCAATGCAAAGCTGCCAGGTGCATTACGAGCTGCTGTCCAAAGACCGCCCCTAATTTGAATAATATTAATTAGTCCGATGTGACCGATATGTCCGATATAAAAATTTTTAAATATTGACGAAAATAAATATTACCTATAAAGACGATGTCGTTCTTCCCAAAAAATTTGAACAATGTTACGTCCTTTTAAAGATTCTGGATTCGTTTGACGTTTAATTTTCAAAACATCTAACGGAAGGAGTGCTATTTCACCAACGCCAATTATACTAATTGAATAAATAAATCAGTTTTTGTTTCTTTTTAGAAAGTCAAATAATCATGAATTCAGAAACCATAAACTTTCTCACCTTCCAGCTGTTGCATGTATTATTGTTTTGCCACTTTTTTCACCGAAGGTTGTATAAAAAAGATCTTTATGGTATTTATTAATATAATCTTTTACATAAGGCTGTCCACCATATTTATAAATACGCTGAAGAATTTTATACCCTCCAGCGTATCCTAAACCGGGGAATAATGATGCATATTTTCGTAAAGCTCCAGAAGAATGATCCGCCTAAAATAAATTGATTAAATTGATTAATTGATTAAAATTTTAACCCAATTTTCATACATTTAGAAAAAAGTACAACCTTAAATATAACTTTTTCGAGATTGCTAAATCCTTGAGAAAAAGGTGCACCAGGAATAAATATCTGAAAATGAAATTTGTTAACATAATGAATATTATAAATTGATAAAAAAATAACGCGTCATACCTTTGTAGGGTTTGTCATTAACCGTTTTGCCACAGTATCAACGGGGTGAAATACAAGTAATTCAAGCAACCCTGAGGTCCCTGATCCCAGTAAACGAGCTAAACCTGATTCTGACCGTTTCCCGGATGGTGGAGACATTTTTTTTTTTAATTGTTATAATAATAAAAAATTATTGGAAATAAGAAGAAAACAGTTATCGGTTGTAAATACTGATTGATACAAAAAGCGGATTATTTATAGAGCGCGCCACTAAATAAAATTGATGAAAAATTATCTAATTATCTAAATAACGCTGTTGCACAGTATCGGTATAACGTACTTTTGTTGATTATCAGCTTCAATCTTAAGATTAAAAAAATCAAAAGTTGTACACCTTATTTGCATGATATAAATTATATGATGAAAGAACAATTAACACAATTAACATAGATCTGGCCATGTGTTTACTAATAATCTACAAAAAAAAACGGTCAGTTCTGCAGTTATACAACGGTTCTGCCCGCAAGGTAACAATAAAGCGAAATTTTATAATAAAAAATATCTCGCACGATTAAAAAATACATAACGTAATCTTCAAATTGTATTACGTTACCGTTATTTGTGATGAAATCTTGATGAAATCAGTGTCACCATTCAAATATCCGTACGTATAACGGAGCTTAAAATTAATACAATAACGATAATAACATTTGATTAATAACATACATATGTAAGAATAATAACAATTTACGATGAAAATTTTTATTTAATAATAATAAGTCATGTTTTAAGTGCACAACCCGAGTAAATGGAAGCATAAAACAGAAACGTAAGGATGATACTGTATTCGCACGCAAAAAGAAAATGCTATAAAATCCGAAGAGCTTGAAATATATAGTTTATGAAAAACTTATGGGTATTGAGAGAAAGCGATATGTATATGAATCTTGAAATAGTTGTAGATATTTCCCAAACGGTTAACGAATAGAAGTTTTGCAAGCTCATTGTCATTATATTATGGTTTATTTCTAAATCTATATTAATTTAGATACAATGCAATTCCCAATATCCTATCACATTACGGAAGCTAAAGAAACTTTATGGGAAAATATTCGAATATCAATTACACACAAGTCAATTTAATGATCGATCTGGTAAATTCAGAAACTAATGGAGAATCAAGTACAGAAGATAGTGAATCCGAACTGAAATTTAGGTATAAAAATTTTTTCATTATGTTTCCATGTTTAAATAAATTTATTTATTAATTTTATGTTTTAGCCGCTTGTTATAACCTGTAGCGATAATTAAATAAATTCTAATAAGTTAAATAATAAATATAATAAAAAAAAAACTTGTGATCTCGTGATTCTATTACTGCGCGATTATATAACTGCATAACTGATTTTGGTGAGTTCGGTTTTAGTGGTTCGGTTAATTTTTGGTTCCGCTTACCAGCTTAGAGCCTGACCGGATAAATACACATTTATCGTTATATTTTTCATAGTTTTAATAGTTTTAATTTTTTAATAATTGAATAATTTTATTAATAAAATGAGCGAAAAAGAGGGCAATAAAGTGACTCCTAAATCTACATTAGAAGCAGATTTCTCTGGTGCCGGTCGATCTGGAACAGTTTCTCCAAAATCTATTAAAAATCCGTCTAATCTGTCACAATCTCCTCGCCGATTTTCTTCTTCTTCAACTCGCAGCTATGATACCAACGATTATTATTCGATTTCTCCTGTAAATCAGCGAGTGTCTTCGGCAATGTCTTTGTACGGCCGAGGTTATAATCGAAGCCTTCCTCGTAGAATTTCATTAAATTCTTCAATATCTAATTTCAGTACAATGTCCGAAACATCTTTACCATGGACTACTAAGGTAATCATAATATTTCTTTTTTTTTTATAAAGTAATAATGCTCATAAATTTTTTTAGGTAATTTTAATCGTATACTTTTTTTCTTTTAGCAATTATCAAAAACTTAAATCTTATTCATTAAATTTTTTCTTTCCTTTTTTTTACCTTTCAATTTTAATTGACTTCACCAAAAAGGACATCGGGTTCAACGGTATTCTATAAACTGTCGGAGTAATTCATATCATTTTCCCGATATTGAATGTATGATCTGATTTTTGATAAAATGTTATGTAGCGATTTCTGGTGTACTAAATGATCCAAATGCGAAAGCCTCAAATACTGCTAGACCTACAAAGAACGACATTCCATCAGTACCTCAAACTGTCATAAAAAAAGTAAAACCTACCGATTTCAGTAGCTACCTTAAACAAATTACCCCGCTATTTGAGAGGTACAGTCATAACAAAGAATGTGGAGTAGAAAATTCACACTCTATGAGGAAATCAACTTCTTCTTTTGAATCTCCTGTTGCTTCCACTACAAAGATCTTGACAAATCTTGAGAATTTGCAAACAGATAACTCTGAAATTCCTGTACATCGACTAGAGAGTTCAAGAAATCCTTATTCCGTGCGTATGCCTCCTTATTCTCCTGATGACGATCGACCCATAGAACCTGTAATCGATCTTCCATTACTAGAAACAGTCCCTTCAATATTTTTCGATCCTGAATTTAATTTAGAAAATCCTAGAACATTTGATATGGTGTGTGAAAACACTGATATTATCGATGGTAACCCTAGGAATCCGACTATTTCGACAAATGTAATACTTCAAGAAAAACTTTCACATTATCTTGATACGGTTGAAGTACATCTTATTAAAGAAATTTCTTTACGATCATCTTCATTTTTTGAGGCTTTATCAAATCTTCAAGCTTTACATTCTGAAACATTAGAATGCGTTTATCAAATAAATAGTTTACGTCAAAAATTAGCTCAAATTGATGATTCTCAAGCTAAACAAGGGCTTGAAATTGTGAGGTTAAAACGGCGTCGTACAAATATGAGTAGACTTTATGAAGGTATAAGAATGGTCGCTGAAATTAGCTCAACGCAATCGGTATTACAAGCGTTGTTAGAACAAGGTGATTATTTTTCTGCTTTGGATTTAATTGAAGAAGCAAATTCTATTTTAAATGGGGGTGAAAGTCAACGATCTCAATTGGAAGAGTTAACTAACGATCAGGGCTTAAAAACTCCAATTTCATCAACAAATAATTCTAAAACAATGATTGTGAGTAGATTAAGCAACGTAGCGGATGGGTTCAAAAAGTCTGGCACCATCGATTTGAGAGGTGTAAGAGCATTAATGTACTTTGGTGGGCAACTTGGTGAAATGTATAAGGCAATCGGTGTGATGATGGAAAATGATCTATTGAACATGTTGTTTATGGATTTTGGAGAACATATAGAAAGTGTAAACACTACAAACGCAATAAACATTCTTTGTAATGATAATAAGATTAATTATTCCGTAAAACATAGTACTCCTTCTATCAGTAGTATGAACGATCCTAATTTAATGGATAACGAAGAAAAGCTGAAAAAAAGGATAACGCCACTAGTTTTAGGCTTATATAGAATGAATCGATTCACGTCTACTTTACAAGCATATCGCGAAAGAATGTTGGATGAAATCAAAAAAATAGTCCAAATTCAAAAGGTTTGTAATAATTTATAAAGATTTAATATTTAATTATTAAAAATAGCTAATTATCTATTTTACGGAATTTAATAATACAATAGCATTTTAAATCTTCAACGACCCTCACGGAAGCTAAAGATGATCACACAAGTTATTTATCGACGGAACGTAGGTAAAAATCTGGTGATATTTTATATCAATGAATGATATTTTGCGTTCATATTTCATCAATGCTAACTTTGTTTAATTTAGTATGAATACTACAAAATTATTGAAAGGAATGACTTTTGATGCTTTTTTAGACATGTTATTGTCGATATATGCAATTTTGCTTGAAGGAATTAAAAGAATTGCGGTTTATAATGAACTTTTCTCTAATATTATAACTGATGCTCAAAAAATCAGTTTAGGACTTCATTTTGACCTGTTTGAGAATGAAAAAAATTTATCAAATAAAGTTCCACAGGTAAACGATGATAGTAAATCACAGAAAGAAACGGAAGCTAAAGTTTCGGATACTAAAACTCAAATTGAGTCTAATACCGGAAATTCTAAAATCAGTACTGCTTTGAAAATTACTACTGGAATAAAATCCATAATACAAAAAACCCAATCTTTAGCATTAAAATCATCGTCATCTTTACTGGATCCACAACCTAAAAAACCAGAAGTTGTATCATCACCTTCCAAAACAGAAATAAAGCTTGATTCTAATAGTCAATATACACAGCTAGTATCAGATTCTTCACAAATAGTATATGCTGCGGCAGATCTGGCACATGTACGGTGCGCTAAGTTGATCGCGGTTCGTGCAGATCAAAATGCCCAACTGAATCAAAAGGACTTTTATCGACTATTTAATGTTACGTGGGCATTTGTTTTGGAGTGTGAAAGTTTATGTGGGCGTATGTGTTATGGCTTGCGAGGAACAATAATTTCGCAGGTATTTAATATAATTAAATTCTTGACTTAATTTTTATTTTTTTTTTAATTTATCTTATACAATATTCCTTGGAAGGCCAAAGCATTCTTGACTCATTTTCACATGGAAAAGACAAAGCAAGAAGCAACATTGGTTGAAAATGAACAATGGATACAAGCTGGTGTGCCTATTGATTTTCAGCGAATTGTAGATCGAATTATAGCTGCCTCTACAGAAGGATTATCAATTTTCAAAGATAGTCTATTTGACCATTTAACACCACCAGCATCGCCAGTATATCCACCCTCAGTTACTCAATCCGGTCATAACAATGACGTTGCCAATGGCACGGATGAAAAAGACCGTATTCAAAACAATCCACCCGCTCAGTCAAGCAACCGTCATATATTTGTCGAAGATCGGAAATTTTTTTTAGTTGGTTGCAGCTTGTTACTCCTAAAAATGGTTGATGATTATCTTAAATGTATGGTCAATATTCCAGTATTGATCACCGAGACGATGAATAGGATTATAGAACTTTTAAATGTTAGCATCTGAAAATCGTTATTTATATTTAATTCTTGATTGGGAAATTTATTAACTATCTTTTTAATTTTCTTAGTTATTTAATTCAAAAACGTGTCAAGTTATTCTGGGAGCAGGTGCCATGCATTCTGCAGGATTAAAAAATATCACAGCAAAACATTTGGGTATGCTTTTAGTTCTCGTTTCTTTATAAAGTGAAACTTATTCTATTAACAATTATTTCATAATAGCACTTGCATCTCAATCCCTCGGTGCTATTATTGCACTGATACCATTTATTCGCGAATGCATTCGACATAATCTTAATGCTAGACAAGTGGTTATGTTGACAGAGTTCGACCGGATTAAAAGGGTATGTTTTCTGCAAAAACAAAAATAAAAAATAAGATTAAAAAAAATGTATTAATATTATGTTATAATGTCAAAAATTCATATTTTTAGGATTATATTAATCACCAAAGTGAAATACATACCAAACTGGTATCAATTATGAATGACCGCCTGGTAGTTCATCTTAGGTCTTTTCAGGTATCGTATCTAACCTTTACTCTAACATATATTTTTTACAAGATTACTAACGCTCACAATTAACAATAGTCAATAAACTGGGACGAATCAGATACCAAAGACGGTCCAAATACTTATATGGAATCATTAGTTAAGGAAACTACAACTTTGCATAAGGTTTTAAATAAATATCTTCCGCTAGAAATTCTTCAGGTAATTTGAATAACTAATTTATTATTTAAAAAGTAATTGTATAAGGAACGATTATTTATATTCAACAATATTAACATGTATTTACTTATTAGAATGTAATGTTGGAAGTATTTAAGTCATCAAATGCAAATATTGCGGAAGAAATTGCCAAAGTGAATATTCATACACCTGCTGGGAAGGAACGGTAGGTTATGTTTCAACAATGATTGATATTTATTGATTATATAATTTTAAAACCTTTTTTGTACTTTTAGAATGACCACAGATATACAATATTATATACGTAAATTAACGGTTTTAGAAGGACTTCAAGGGTCTACTAGTGACTTAGAGAATATAATTAACGATTTACCAATCAAAGAAAATTTACCGAACGACGATAAAATTGTTGATATAACATCTCATAATTCCGAATGATACATATTAGCATGTTACTAGTTTTAATAGATTATCTAAAGGTTAGTTTAGAATAAAATTGTATAGTAATAAAAAAGTATATAAATTATATACAAATATTCACCAATCAATATAATAATACACTGTACAGTATTCTTGGTTTTTACTATTATATTATTTGTTTTCTGCACTCACCAATATTACTGTATTAGCTTTTGTGACTCCTATTACCCGATATTTTCAAATTTACTATATATATTTATTAGCCCTGTTAGTTTTTCCTATTTTGCTTAGCAAGACCGAATTGACAAGTTAGATTAACATCGGAATATAATAAATACAGAAATAGATTTTAAAGTTAGGCCACTCCAAGTTGATTAGGGCATAAAACCCATAAAAAAACACAAAAAATGCAATAATTCTATTGGCTGCAAAATATAAAAGCCAATTAGGGTAGTGCATAGTGACAGATATTACGTAATATTTTTTCACTATACCCTCTACCTAGAGGTTGGAACCGGTTTTAAATATTCGAGTTTATCACATCAAAATTCGAGTTTATCACTCCAAAATTCGAGTT